CATAACCTTCACTTGGTTCTACACCCATACGTTTTGTTGATCACAGTCCGTCTGTTAAAACCAATTTCTCTTCTCCTTGTTGACTTAATCACCTTTTGGTTAATACTCATTCTTTTGGTCAAATACCATTCGTCAGTTAAAAACCAATTCCTTTCTCTTTTCGGTTAATCTTTGTTTATCAGTCAACACACCGATTCCCCTAGAGAGTCAAACACTTTCTCTTGGTTCAACACTCTCTTACTGGTTCATCACAGTTCGTTTGTTGATACCAACCTTTCTTCCTGCAGAGTCATAATCTTTTCTTTCTTCGGTTAACCACTTCCTATCAGTTAATGTACCAAATCCCCGGTGGATCTTACCTTGTCTCTATTCAAATCCCTTGCTCCTATATTCTCTTGGTTTTGACATCGTTCCTCTGTATTCCTTTCCTAGTTCTAACATCATTCTTTTGTCTTCCACGGTGGAGTCTTTCTCTCTATTTCCTCTCTTGGTTTTGACAACATTTCCCTTTCTTTCTCCTTCCTGGTTCCCCGAACTACGGAGCTCTGACTTCCTCATTGCACTATGAGGATATGTAGGCACGAGGGCCCCAATCCTCCGCGAACACTTTCTTCTTCCCTTTTCATTTCCCTTCTTAGCAAGTAGCCTTTAGATAGATAACTCATCCAAACCTAAAAGCGAGCAAACCGGTTCCCGTCGAGTACGACGAATGTGTGAGGTGTTAATCCCTTCCTCTTGCATAATCGATCCCCTTACCCGTTTCTCTTCCCCTTGGGTTTTATCAATATTTTCCCTGTCCTTTAGAACTAAATAAAGTTAGGTGGCGACTCTGTTGTATCTTTGAATGTGCGATTCACTCAAGTATAATCCCGCTAGCTTCACATGTGATAAGAGAAACTTGAGTCTAAGACCAAACTATCTTTAGTTTCCAAACTCGACAATACTAGTGCATCATCACTCTCATAACCATCCTCATCTAAGGCAACCACAACTTGAAAAAAAATCATGATTGTACTTTCTCTTAGAAATCCCTCTTAAAGTGACCAGTTTTCTAACAGTTATCGCATTTTACCTTTAACTTATCAAATCTCTTTAATTTATACATCCCTTTACACCCCACTTACTCCTCTTGATACACTCAAGCCTTCACCGCTATCATCAATCTTCAAATGTTTTTCCTTTGAAAATTATTTAGATTTCAACGCCGTTAGGACTTCATCCAAAGTAATAGTACCTTCATTAACATAAAGAAGGAGTGTTCAAAGGATTTGGGTAATGATCTCAACAAGAGCAGAGCCTTGTCCCTATCTTCAATCTCCACTTCAATATTCTCAAGATCATCAAAAATCCTTTGAAATTTTGTCAACTTATCCACTATGGGTTTGTTAACCACCATTCAGAATTAATAGAGTTGTTGTGTTAGACACAATCTCTGATCCAAAGACTTGGTCATATACAATGATTCAAGTTTTGTAGACATCACAACCACAATTTACTCCCTACCGACTTCTCTTAGAACTTTATCACTGAGACACAAGATAATGACACTCTTGTCCATATCCACCATCTCAGTCTTCTATGCTTTACCTAGGTGTGCAAGAATCGATTCCTCATCCTTCAAAGCATCAATACACTTCTCTTGAATTAAAATTGCTTACATATTTACTTTTAATAACCCAAAATCATTCTTTCTATGAAATTTATCGATCTCCCATTTATCCATGGTGCTCACTCGTAAACAATACCCCTTTATTCCACGGTGGGTGCCACATGTTGTCAAATTGATAGAATAATTAAAACCCGTTCAGAAGAAATTATTTAGCGTTCAATCACACCAAGAAATTTGACGTGTGAGACAAAGAACAATGACAAACAAATGACTTTAAGCAATAATAACCTTTAATGCAATAAGAAAGTGAATTAATTTGAGAGAAGAAGATAAAAGAAGGAGAGAAACACAAAATGTTTGTTTACCCAGTTCAATTAAATGATCTACGTATGGGGGGAGAAAGTAATTCTCTAATTCACTATACTCCAAAATTTGTTACAAGAGATTACAAATGAGTTACAAAAAAATAATCTTCCAAGTTTTTTAGAACAAACCCTATTTTCTACAAAAGTTTTTTCTAACCTCTTCGACTCTCAATATAGTAATCACACAAATCCAAGATGTTTAGAAGTATTGCTTGATTCTTACTCCAAAGGCTTCCTTAAACCATAAACCACTATTTCTTCATTTAACTATAAAGTTCTCAAGATTGTCACTCTCTACAATAACAAAAGAGATATATATATTTATAATTGCTAAAATCCAAATGATCCATAATAAAACACAAAACACAATTCATTAATAGACAAATCCACAAACAAGTCCGAAAATATGTCATTACCAAAATATGTTATTTTTTCTTCTCTTTTCTCACATAAGATTTTAAGGAATATTACAAGAGCAACGATTTCATATTCTAAAGTTTGGACCAAATTCAATAAGATCATAATATATCTATCAACAAAAGTGAAAAGTATACGCTAAAATTTAAAAAAACTCTGATACCATCATAAAGTCTTTCATTAAGATAAAAAAAAAAGAATGAAAATTAAAATAAAATGCATAGAGGCCATAGAGGCATGTGCCTAGGGCCTCCGATTTTTCTTTTAGTTATAGACCTTTATATTTTAATACTACATACTTATTAGTTATGGTTAATTAATAATACTTTGACTGTTTTTATTTTACCTTTATAAACTAACGTATTACATTTTCGATGCAATTTGTCGTGCTTATGTATTTTGTATTTTTTTTGGGTTTCATGTTTCATATTTCTTATTGTTTTGCAATTTGATTTTTTATCCTAAAATAAAATATAATTAATAAAAGAGCACATTAACCAATTTACTTTTTTTTATGATGACAATGTGAATCTTTATATTTTATAGCATAGTGGTAATTTATTCTAACATACCATCTCGTTTTTTTATTTGTTTCTCTTGTGACAGTTTTATTATTTTTTGTTTTAGAGTATTATTGAGTATTAACTTAAAAATTTGAATTGAAAAGTTTAAAATTTGCATATAAAAAATTTAAAATTTAAATTTAAATAAAAACATAGTAGTTTTAATTATATATTTTAAATTTGCCTCGACTCAATATATGTTAGACCGACACTGATGATAATAGTTCATGAGTTTAACTAACTATTAATATATTGGCTACCTAGAATAGCAAGTCAAGGTAAGAACATGTAACACGTTTGTAGCTTGTGTAACAAGTCACATGTTTAGTTTGAAAAATTAAGAGTGAATAACTTTGGTTGTTTGATCAACAAGTAACTAGTTCAACACCTAACTTTTTTATTTAAAAAATTTCCCTAGTAAGACATATGAGAGAGAAGAAACAAAAGGAAAAACCTTAAAGAGAAAAATGTTTCTTCACGGTTATAGAGTCACATGATTTTTGGACATTTTAAATGTGATAGTCCTTGTGCTATAACCTAAGAAACAAGAAAACCTCAAATTTTGCATGTAGAGATATACCATTTACATATAAGTTATCAACACACGTTGTCCTTGTGTGACTCATGTCATACTTATGAACACATTTCTTGAACCTTAAACATGTATATGACCGCCTTAACATATCATTTTTGTCTTAACTATTTGTTTGTTAATAACACACAATTCACTCAAAAAATAGTAAGTTTACTCAATAATTTTCTTGTTCTACACTTCTCACTTCAAATAAATAATTTCCCTTACTACACCTTAAACAAATTCATTGCGTCTTGGATTCAATCATATACTACTGGTTGGAGAACCTTTTTATCTCATCAACAGTTTCTGCTTATGTGAATTGGAGCTTTACAAAAAAAGGTAATCTTTATTTTATAAATAAAAGCATTGATTATGAATTTAATTTAAAAAATTAAGCAACTTGATTAGAGTTCTCTTTTGAGTATACTGTTTTTATGGTCTTTGAATTTTAATTAAGTGGGTGTTATTGGTCTAAACATCTTTAAACTTTGACTCATTTGTCTAAACATGTTAGGAAAATAGTGTTTGTGTTTTCTTTCCTAACTTTAAGATGCTTTTGATTCTGAAAATTGACATCACTTTCTTTGGTTTCCATGATTTTCTCCAATCCTAGATGCTTTATGCTGTTTGGTTTTGTTAGTTTTTCATGTTATGATTTTTCATCACCAAAGATTAAAATATAATAGAGTGCATAATTTACATATTTTCTATATTAAAAAAATAGTAATCATGTTTTAAGAAAACTTATACGATAATAATATGAATAGTTACTGCAATTGTTATCATTGTAGTTGTCGTGTGAAACGTTTTACTTTTCGAAATTTTACATTTTAAAAAATTATATAAAAATTTGATAGGTTCGAAAGTCGATTCAAATTACAATTTCTCATTATTTAATATTTATAATGGGTAAATTTTGAGTTGTGATTCGCCGCAGTCTTATGATTAAGTGTTTTTGACCGTCTGATTAAAATTAGATGATTCTAATTTTAAACTAATTTAAAATAATTAAGTGTATTTCACCATTTGATCAAGTGACTCTCACTGTATGATTAATTTCATACTATTTTTGATATTTTAACTGCGTGAATGACGCAAAAGATTCATTTTTATGAATTTCGTCACAAAAATGTTTGAAAAAAAATTAAAAAATACTTTTTATAAGATTTGAGTGGAATCTCTTTAATCATCCCTCTCTTTTTCAAACAATCTTTAACAATTGATTTAATTTTTTTACTATATACTTTAAAATCCAATCAAATTATTTCTATTGATGAACATGAATATAATATTCTTTTGTTTGTTTTTATTTAGTGGTGTTGCCCCACTTTTGCATCCAACATGAGAAGATTTTCCTCCATAAATACCCTTTGGTAACGTGTGTCTTCCACACTTTCTCCACACACCTTCTTCACCTTCATAATCACAATTATCATTTTCCTCAAATAGCATAATCTTCCTCATTTCTCATGGCATCACTCAACAACATCCAAGCCAAATTTGATCTTGAACAACAATCATCAACAATAGCAACATTAGAAGTTGAAACAAAAGATTTTGACTACTCAAAAAGATCACAATGGCTACGCGCCGCAGTCTTAGGCGCTAACGATGGATTAGTCTCTACAGCTTCGCTGATGATGGGAGTCGGTGCGGTCAAACAAGACATCAAAGCTATGATCTTAACCGGTTTCGCTGGGTTGGTAGCCGGTGCATGTAGCATGGCTATAGGTGAGTTTGTTTCGGTTTACTCGCAATTGGATATCGAAGTTGCTCAAATGAAAAGAGAGAAAGAAAGAGGAAGAGAAGTTGGCGATGGTGAAGAGAAGGAAAGTTTGCCTAATCCTTTGCAAGCTGCAGCTGCTTCAGCTTTAGCTTTTTCTATTGGTGCAATGGTGCCATTGCTTGCAGCTTTTTTTATAAGTGATTATAAGGTGAGACTTGGTGTCGTTGTGGCTGCAGTTAGTTTTGCTTTGGTTGTTTTTGGTTGGTTTGGGGCTGTGTTGGGCAAGGCTCCAATTTTTAGGTCTATTTTAAGGGTTTTGATTGGTGGTTGGGTTGCTATGGCTATTACTTTCGGGCTTACTAAATTAATCGGGACAAGTGGCCTTTAGGTTTTTTCGAAACTATTTTTACTTCTGACAATTTCTTAAAAATTATCGTATTTCGAATAGATAAAAAAAATATATTTTTATCTGAATTTCGAATTGATTAAAAAAAACACATTTTATCTGAATTTATGTAATTCAAGATAAAAGATGCTGTTTTTTTTTTTTTTTTTTTTTTTTAAATTTTGGCTTCCTAAGTATATGTGGAGGTAGGAAAAGAAGTTTGTTGTTTTTCTTTTTTTTTTGGTAAAGTGTGTTTTGCAAGTATATGCAAGATGTTATTTATGGTTTATTAGTCAAAGAAACTAGTTTTAGTTTAGTATTGAAAGAGGTTATAAGATGTTTTATAGCCTCTTTGTAATTTGTATAGATGGATGTTTTCATTCATGTGTTATAATTTATGAAGTTTGAAGTTTATCATTTGAGAAGTTTGTGAAAATTAATATAGTTATAGTTGAATCAATGAGATTTGTTGATTAATAGTAAAATAGTTTATAGATTCAACAATTCGCAGATAAATTAATCCACAAATTCGCAGATAAATTAATCCACAAATTTGCATATCAGCTCAGTTAATAATTTTGCAGAAATATCAGATTGCATAAAACGGACTTTAACTTGTCAAAGTGATTCAAATTTCCTAATTTAAAAAAGATAAACTAAAATTTTGTTCATATATAATACATGTAATAGTATCAACCAACATTATTGGCCGAACTTGTTATTCTAGCACTTTAGATTTTACTGTAAGTTTAGCTATATAATTTGTATTAATCATCTTGTTATGATCCTATGAAGTTTGGTTTTATCAGAGTGTAGGAAGAGTAGGTATCACGACAAATTTCAGAATCTCTTGTGTCATGTTCCTTAAAGGAAATTAAAAATGTTAAAGTACTTTGAATTATTTATTTTTAACTTTTATTACTTCTTTAACGCTAACATTTGAACAAATATAGAATATATTTTAAAATTCAGTATGGTGATGCATATTATATACTATTTTAAAGAATTTTGTTAGTATGAATATGTATTTGGTAAAAGAAAGACATCTTATTAAAAAAATATTAGATTATTTTTTATCCCCACTATGTAATGGGTGTGTTGCGAAAAAATACCGTCAATATCAAAACAAAATTATGAGATAAATATTTAGTTTATTAAACAAACACAAAAAATTTTATATTAGGTTTTACGAAAGATGAAGAAGAAAGAAGAATGAGAATTAGTTAAAACTGTTTTACTATTCACTTTCTCAATAAGGGTTCAAAGGTTACATGTGAATATCAATAATTAACCTCTCTCAATAACCTGAGAGAACTAGTCTATTTATAGAATACTAAGTTAACTTAGGTTACAAGCTAACTTAACAATTGAGCTTACAAGCAAGGTCAACATGCTAACATATTTCAACAACATGCTTGAATAGACTTCGACTATAGCATGCACAACTCATGTCGAACCATGAAGGTACCTTTGTCGACACTAGAGTTCGATCCAAACTCCATAAATCTCCACCTTGGAACAAACTCTATACTAACAAGGGAACAAACTAACTTTCATCATGCAGGTTTATCAACTGTATACAATGGAAAAACTTGCTACTTGACAATGTCTTGATGATCATATCAGCAGTAATATTGTCATCAGTCGAGATCTTCAGCTATTGGACCTCTCGACGCTTGATTATCTCTCTAACAAAGTACAACCTCACATCGATATGCTTGGTTCGCTCATGATAAACTGGATTCTTTGACAAATGTGTTACACTTTGACTATCACATTTAACAGTGATAACTCGACCATGAAGTTTCATGTCCTTAGAAAAACCTTCAAGTCACAATGCTTCTTTCACAAATTCAGTGAGGACGATATACTATGCTTCAGTGGTTGATAAGGAAACAACCTTCTAAAGTGTTGCTTTCCAACTGATTGTTGTGCCAAACATAATGAACACATATGTAAAAATAGATTTTCTAGAATCTATACAACCTGCATAATCAGAGTCGACAAATCCTTTGATTTCGACTTCACTATCATCACTAAAGGCTCCACCATAAATTAGGACTCTGCTCATAGATCCTTTGATGTACCTAAGAATCAACTTTAATGCTTGCCAATGCGCCTTCTGATAAGTGGTTTTTACACGTGATTTTACCGTTTATTGCAGTTAATCATTTGTTTTGTCTTGTCGCGTTTTAGCTATTTTTATTACATTTTACGCGTCGATTTGGTATTTTCACTGTTTCTAGGTTCAGGTAAACAATAAAGGAGAAGCAGAGCGAAAACCGGGGAAAATGGCAAGATTTCGGAAGAGTTTTGTTGTGAAAGTAAAATCTTTAGCAGTCTGCACGAAAACGATCATAACTGGAGTTCCGGGAATCCGTTTGAAGCGTTCTAAAAACCTCTGGAAAGCTAAGAGAGAGCTACGACTTTTGTGTTGGAGTCGAAGTCAGATTCACAAGAGGGGCCTAACACGGGTGCCCGTGTTGTATGACACAGCCCGTGTCAGGATGTGCTCAGAAGAGGTGTTTTTTGTGTGGAAAACAGTGGCCTGACACGGCCGCCCATGTCACGTGACACGAACCGTGTCAGGACACCTGAGACTTGAAAAAATCATGCGAAAATTATATCAGAAAGCCAACATGGCCGCCCGTGTTTCCTGACACGGCCCGTGTTAGTTAAAACGCCTCATTCCCTATTTTTCTTGTATTTTTGACACGCGTGATCCCTGAGGGTATTTTGGGCTTTTCTCTGGTACTGAGTTTGAATTGAGACTATTTGATACGTGTTTTGACAAAAGGGAGGGGACTTTTGATTGTACGAGAAAAAAAGTACAACGGGAGATTGAAGCTCTGGAGAATTGGGAGGACAAGGAGATTTTCATGTTCGGAAGAAATTGAAGATCGAATTCACTCCTAATACCATTGTAATGTTTCTATTTATCATGTTGTTTTTATCGAATATTATGAGTGGCTAAACCCCTAATTGTTAGGGGGTGGTCCTAAATTTCTATGTATTGACCTTTGTTGGGATTATTCTATAAGATTTTTGTTGTTCACCTTATAGCTTTTATTTTGCAATGATCTTTATGCGAATTCATATTGGAAAATAGAATTTTATTTACGATTAGGTTTTGGTCTGGAAGGTCAACCTAATGCTTTTGCAAAATAACATTACGGTAGATATTGCTTAGGAATGGGGATACCCCGTAGTAGCGTGTTTTTATGTCAGAACTATTGCTTGATGATTTCTGTGTGCAACTAAGGAATTAGGGCGCAGGAAAATCATCAAAGGATTTTTCACTAAGGAATTAAGGAAAACTAATTTTGAAATTTGACTTATTAAGGTTGGAAACAAATATTTCAGAATAATTCTTTAAGGTCTTTACTAGCAATTTATCCACTTCCCTAGCATTGTTCTTATTTTACTCTATAAAATTTATTATTTTACTAGTTCTTATATCCTGTTACCAAACGAAACCCAAGGTTATTTTGTCTGATTGAAATAACAAGTTTTACCTAAAAATTTACACGCAGTCCTCAGAGATCGACATTCGGGGAATTTTTCCCTTATTACTACATCGGTATAATTAGTACACTTGCTAATTTTCCAGTCACCTTCCCAGGATTGTCCTCGTACAGACCATAACATACATCAAAGAAGTTACTATACTAGCATATCAAATGATATTCATATAGGGTCTTTCGACTTCGGTACTAGGAATTTGATTTGTACTCAACTTGTATTAAGGATTAGTCGACGTTAGAACAGACTTTGAGTTGGACATACCAAACTTGTCAAGAATCTTCTTTAGGTATGTCACTGAGATAAGTATAATCTCGACTGCTTCTTATCTCTCCAAATGTCAATCCCAAAAATTCTAAAGGCAGCTCTCAAATCTTTCATGTAGAACTCCTTATCGAGTTCATCCTTCACCTTCATAACATCTTCATAACATAGAGGTCGAACTGAATTCTAGTGAAATCAATGTGTGCCATGGACTTGTTGAATCTCCTATTCCATTGTCAAGGAGATTATTTCAGCCCATACAAAGACCTATTCAGCTTGCACACATAATCTTTATTTCCCTTTTTTGCATACCTTTTAGGTTACTTCATCAAGATTGTTTCGTCTAGATCACCATATAGGAAGGTTGTCTTCACATCCATCTGTCATGTTCAAGGTCGAACTTCGCTACCATGGCTAACAACATTCCAATGGGTCTATGCTTTACAACACATGAGAACACATCATTGAAGTTGACACCTTCTTTCTGAGTGAAACCCCTAACAACCAACCTTGCCTCAAAACGCTTCGATATCACTCCTTCGATTCCTTCCTTAACATTGAAAATCCACTTACAGCTGACTAACTGGGCCCCTGCAGGTTTCTCGATCATCTCCAAAACGTTATTATCATAAAGATATTTCATCTCATCATCCATGGTGATCTTACCTAATCAGAAGGAAATCAGTGACCTGCCACGCGTCGTTGATCTGAAGGCTGTTCACCGTAAGTAGGAAGGAGGAGGGGGGGTGTACCTGCAAGACACTCTGATGCCAAAGTAAGTAATGGACCAGAGTGAGAGAAAATATAGAAGAGAGATAGAGAATTGAATACCTAACCCTCTAGTGAAAGAGGGTATTTATAGAGAGACCCCAACGCAGGGCCAACAGTCACTTATGTTGGGCTGGATTGGCAGGCCCAACCCAGGTGACTGTTAGGGCTTACGTGGCGTAGTGAAGACCAGCACGTGGTCTTCGCCCTAGCTCATTCGTGCTGTGATCTCCGGAAGGTGGGTTGACCAGCTTTTTCGGAGGTGGGTAGTTGGCTGATGACGTGTTCTTGCGGAGGGGACACGTGGAGAACGTGTGGAGGACGTGTTGTTTTTCCCGACGGAGGGAGGAAGCCTGCCCGGTGTGCCTAGACCCGTGCCTGACATTGGGGATTTGGGCCTTGTTAAGCCTTCCCCAAATAACATTAGGCTGGGCCTGCCCAATAGATGG